AGCGTGCAGCTCCGGAGCGATTCAAAAAGCTGCACTGTGTCACAGCGCCATTACCGGAAGCTCTCAAATATCCACACTTGCCATTTTCTAGAGCAGAGGGAGGATAGAAAACTGGCAGGAATGGTGGTGCATGGGGTCACTTCCTGGATGCGGACCAAAGTGGAAGCAATAGCTGACTCAAGTGTGATCCTCCTGTAACCCCCCCCCCCATTTCAGCTTTCTTTACCTCAGGCAAGGCTATTCCTGGACACAGCCGTCGGGTCCAGTGATGCAGCCGGAAATGTCACAGAGCACTCCAGCGACACATCCACATGGCTGCCAGCATCAGGGGATCCAGCTGCCACTCAGTGAGGAGGAGCTGCCCCCACTGCCCTGCTGCCTAGCCTTGGCTGCCAGGAGGGAAGCCGACCATCGCCCAGGGCCATGTGAGGTGGTGGGCCAGCCACACATGTGGCTAGCAGCCAGGCCAGGAATGGCCTGTGCTGAGCAAAAAAACAACAACTGTGCACTATTGACTAAAAATTAATGTGCTAGCACATGGTAGCACAGTTTGGCGGGAACATTGTCTGCCACTATTTCAGTTTATCTTCAGATTAAAAATATCAGTTCCCCTGGAGAAAATGACTGTTTTGGAGTATGGATTCGATGTCATTGTATCCTGTTGAGGTCTCTCCCCTTCCCATACCCCAGCATCCCAAAGTCTCCAGGTATTTCTCAACCCAGAGCTGGCAACCCTAGAAGGAAGAGTAGATTAGGAATCATGCTGGGTCTGGGAGTCTGCTTAATAGTGCTCCAGGATGCTATGTGGCTTTGCTAGGTGCTCTAGCAACACAAAAGGAGCATAGCTTCCAAGCTAGAGGACGGGTTTTCCAGGCAATTTTTAGTTGCCACGGCCATCATATTATTATTTAGCTGTCAACCTAGAACTTGGAATTCACTGGGGATTTTTTTCTTGATTTTGCAGGAATCAGATGGCACTCACATTATTTTCCTTAACACCATACAGAACAACTTCTCTGATATAATCACTAGAACTTTTATCAACATCACATTTGCCTGCCGATATCCTATTAATTACATGGTACAGCAGCCTAATGGAGAAAATAAGATCAGTGTTGATATCAGGTAATTGGGGATTGCCCAATTGGTCTGCATACCCTTGGTTATGTATTTTATATTATTATATGCTTCCTGTGTATAACTCTGCCATATGATAGATAGATAAATAAATAAGATAAGCTTTAAAAAAAGCAAACACCTTCCTCAATACTAATCACATGCCCAGAATAAAGTCAGGGTAAAGGGGCAGCTGAAGAAGGCTGGATATATCATTGCACTAAAAGAGCTACTCAAAGTACTGGCTTTCCTAATGGGGAAGAACTGAAAACTTCTTTCTTGAGGAGAGTGGGCCTGTCTTGCTTAGAGTTGCCCCATTGTATCTTCTGCTTCTGTGCCTTAGAAGCAAAAATTCATCTTGAAGCCTTTTGTGCTGAAAAGTTTCAGTAGCAGAATCGTTGTTTGTGACGAAGCTGTTTCAGATGTGAATGACTTGCCAGGAAATAATTGAAACCTCACTTAAAATGTCACATTGCCTGGTCACCGGGGGTTGGATCCAAACAAAATTTTCCATCAGTGGAACAGAACTTTCCTGCTTTCTCCCCTCTAGTGCAGCCAGCAAATCTCCACAAAATGCTGCTCCTGGGAGACAAGGGGCTTGAGGAATGACATGGGGGGGATGTTGCAGAGGGAATCAGCACAAATTGCTAATTTAGTCTGGATTTACACAGAATATGGGTTGCCAGCTGGTCTAGAAAAAAAGCATATGGTCCTTTAATAGATACTTAATTGGATGTTATTTACCAGGTGATTTACTTTGCCTCCATGCCATGAAAAGTTTCAACTACCCATTTGCACATGTTACACACCTACTAAAGGGAGAGAACATATTTGTTTAGGCCTGTTGGCAAACATAACACAGAGTACCAAATTTCTCATAAATGGATCTCAAACATTATCATTTATCTATTGGGCTGCAATACAAGTGTATAACATTTCTGCAATGCCAGTATTGTAATATATAGCTGACACAGAAGTATTTACTTAACTCGCCTTAGGAAGCAATCCTAAGCATATCTACTTGGAAGTAAGTTTCATTTTATTCAGGGAAGCTTACTCCTAGGACAACATCCTATAACATCATCTGTGCTTATTTGTTGGACCTCTTTGGCGACTGGTTAGCCACTGTATCAGTATAGAGTTATCAGCCTGGGTCTTGCAACTGGAGGGAGCTTGGGAAGCAAGGACATGGGAGGAGTCCTTGGCATCGCATGCACTGTGATATCATTTCCGGGGGGAAATGGAAGTGATACCACATCACTCTAGGAATTGCTGGAATCTCTGTGGTAAAACTCTCTGGCAAGTCTTAGAGAGATGTTACATCACTACCAGGTTTTCTCCAGAAGTGATGTCATGCTGTGCATGACACTAGGTTTTTTCTTCCTTTATTTTTCTCCTGCCACCACTCAGAGTGGCGGTGGGCAACAAGGGTTGCCCTAATGAAAAACAGGATGGTAGACTGGATGGACCACTAGACTGGTTCAATAGGGTTCTTCTTATGCTCTTAGGTACACCTTAGCTTAAGCATTAATTAAACTGGCTTTATGAGTTTACACACCAAAAATGTGTATGACTTACCACTGGAGCCCAACACATGCTTTTGTTAATGTTTGAGTATTTGCTTTGTTTGTGCTTAAAATCACCACCATAATTGTATATTTCAATTGCTTAAAGCTCTGAATATATGCATGTTTGTTCAACAGGACAATTACACTAAATACTGAAGATGGAAACTTTTCTGTGTCCATGATACTGTACAAAGACCCACATTTCGAAGACATGTGGACTACAATTCCCTTTTTGACTCTAGAGGACAACATATTTGTCAAAGTTAAAATGGTACCTGAAGTTATTGATTTCCTGATAAATCTGGGAACTAAGATGGTTACAGAGAAAGCAAAAAAATAAGCAGGTTCATAAAAAAAAGAGAAAAATAACAGACAATTTCCTGTCAGAAATGGTTTCAGATAAGAGGAGCTTAATGGATAAGAGAGGTCATGTCCATAAGGCCACTGAGGCTGTAAAACAAGACTGGAGAATGCAGGCTTGATGAATCCAGTTCCAGTCCTGCTGTTCAGCATTAGATTTCAGTGGTATTCTTCAGACAGTTTTCCAGTATTGGTTTTATTTCTTTAACCCTTTCCCTTCATTTTCCTGTTTCCCAATCAATATACCTCAGGTTAATCAATACAGGCTCTTGCCATTTCAAAAGAAAAATAGCTTCAGAGCCCCAGACACAGAACTCCCAGGCTGCATTTAGATATCACTTGTAACCAACATTAAGAGAGGCCACACACAAACCCAGCTTGTTGCTGGCCTTGTGTTTAAACATCTTTCCTTCTCCCTCCTGCTCCATTCTCCTTGAGCAGAGAATCCTAGTTAAAAACTAACTTCAATTACTTGAAATGAACAAATGCAGCCATGTGGGTTTCTTCCTGCTAGGGTTGCCAGACCCCAGTGGAGGTGAGGGTCCCCCACTGCCAGGCCCTTCGCCCCCAGCTGCTGATCAGCTGGTCCGTGGGGGGGAGGGGCTTACCTGGAGAAATAGAAAAGCCCAGGCCTCATTGTAAGTGTTGCACAGGAAGTGACATCCTCACACCAGCGACGTCCAGGCGACGCTCTGGTATTTGGGCAAATTCTCTATGGTAAAACTGGTTCAACCATATCTGGTTTGTCTTTCAGTTCAGCATGTTGTTTCCTGGAGTGGTCAATCAGATTCCTCTGGAAAACTTCCAATTAGGGTTGGTTTGTTTCTAGTTTCTGGTATTCAGAGGCACTATTTATCATAGATATTGTGATTATGCTGATCTTCCATGAAAGCTAATGGACATTACCCCAAGCAGCAGTAAACTCTGCATTTTGCACAGAAGAACTTAATTCTGACTGTTGTGTTCTACTGTCAATCAACTCCACTAGATGACTTTGCATTCTAGTATTATGAGACTGGTGGTAGACATCACCAAGTATTCGTAGCTGCTGCTTGAAACAGTAGCTACATGTCTCATCCTCCCTCTTTCCCTGGTAACCTCCTGTGTTGCAGAATGTGTAACATAACATCAACTTGCTCTGGTTTTTCCTGACCTTGGGAGTAGCAGCCAATGAAGTGGAGAGGGAGTTGGAAAACCCTGAGCATAATGACATTATGTCACATGTTTTGTATTATTATTACCTGTTTAGTATTTTTACTAAATAAATAAAGTATTTGAAAACGTGTGCATGCAAACAAAAGCTCATAACCTTGAGTAGAACTTTGTTGGTCTTAAAGGTGCCACTGGCCTCTAAATTTGTTCTGTTTTTACTTCAGTTATACCCCACCTATCTCCCCAATAGGGATCCAAAGCAGCTTACATCATTCTCCTCTCCTCCATTTTATCCTCACAACAACCCTATGAGGTAGGTTAGTCTGAAAGTCCAAGGTCACCCAGCAAGCGTCCATGGCAGAGCGGGGATTTCGAACATGGGTCTCCCATGTCCTAGTCTGGCACTGTAACCTCTTCGCTCACAGGTATGAGAGGCAGATGCAGGGCTGCTGTTTTTGGTGGCAGCCTCATCTTCTCCATAGCATCCAGTCCCAGACTCAGAAAAAGAGGGGGAGAATCTCTCCGTTCATAATATGGAAGGAGCACTGTCAAATCTGATTTGCTTCTATCACCAAGGTATTCAAAATAGAGTAATAACTCAAATCTGACCTGCAGTGGGGAATTCAATGTTTTCTTAAAAGCAATTGCAGTAGTAACTGTCTTACTAAATTTCAACAGGATAAATAGTGCAGCCAGACACAGTAGTTTCGATTTTGTGCTGTATTATGTTTTATGACTTTGTGGCAAAGCAACTCTTTTGCCATTGCAGAGCATCTGAGGACTGGATTATAAATGACAGAGAATGCTAACAGACTTCCAGTGAACGTGATGGGAATTTTAAAAGTATAGTTATTTGTGTTATAGTTTCAGTATTGGGATTGGATGGCAGTTTCACCATTGGATTTATCTGATTTGGGTCAGGCACTCACACATGCATACATGTTGGCTTTTTCTCACATTCTTTTTTTTGTGTGTGCTTTTTCTCTCTTTGTGTCTGGCAGGTTCCAGGTAATTTAATAATTAGACTTGAAAACTGCTGGTCTACCCCAACAAAAGATCCTGTTCAGGCTATTCAGTATTCCTTTATTAAAGACAGGTTGGTATCCCCTCAAGGTAAATTAGATTAATCATTCTGAAAATATATTACAATGACACACACATTTCTATATAAAGTTAATGGGACGGTTAGCTTCTGTATAATTGTGTTTTGCAATACCAATTTTCCTTCCCTTTAAAAAAAATTATAAGGTTGGGAGAGAATTCTTTCCAGCAAATGCAAATACATTATGCTTTTAGAGCTACACAAGAAAGGGGACCCGCGGAAATCGCAGGGGGGGAGAGAAGCGGGGGAGCTCTATGCAGAGCAGGCAGAGGAGGCCTCAAGGTCCCCCCCCGCTCCGATGCGAGGTCGGGCGGCGCGCAGCCGCCCGGGCCTTGCTGATTCCCCCCCACACCCGATGCGAGGTCCAGGTGGCTGCGGGGTTTTTTTGCCAAAAAAAAAAGAAGAAGGCCGCTCGCCTCTCATACTATGCGAGGTGCCTGACAGGACCAAGAACCGTGGTGGGCGGGTAGGTGAAGAGACGCGCTTTGAACGTCGCCGGGCTACATAGAGGCCGAGCATTAACACGGCGACCACGCCAGCCAGGAAGGCGCAACCTCCAGCTCCGGGGCCAGGCAGGCAGCACCGGGAGAGGAGAGGGGACTTGCAGGCCCCACCCCCACCGCGCACCCGAGGCAGACCCCCGGCAGGTGACTCAGCGGATCCCTCGCCGACCTGGCCCGGGTCACGTCCCTCCCCCCTACCCACCCCGCGCCCTGGCCACTTCCGCCCACTGGGCTCGTTCCTGTACTCACTGTGGAGTAGGCGGGTCCCCGCCGCAGCGCTCGCCGGTCTTCCCGCCCCTTCTCAGCCACGGGGGCCATCTCTACGCTGGGCAGGGCTCGCCCCACCCCGTCGCCCTCCCCCCTTGGCGGCTCACTCACGCACCTCTCCTCATTCCCCCTCCCCCGCTGCCTGCTCCTCTCTCTCTCAGCCGCCGTAACCGGGGCCTTCATTCCCCACGCCTCCCCCCTTTAATAGGCATAGTGCATGCCCCAAAGCTCGGCTTCCTCTCCCTCTGTCTCCCACCCTCATGCCCGCGCAGCACAGTTTTCTTCCGCTATACCAGTTTCGGGGGGATTTAAACATCCCCCCAATTTTTTTCCAAGGTTTAGGATTTTTGTGCACACGTGGGGACCGCCCCACGTGTGCACAAACCTCTCCCTGCCCCCCAAGTGCCCCCGAAGTGCGGATTTAGATATCTGCACAGACGGGGCCACTTCAGTATTAGTATATAGATGTGCATATCGTTGATAACCCAGCACAAGTGTGAGTTTCATTCACCCTTTGAATGTTATTAAATCGATATCAGCCTTTACATTTACAGTACCATCATAAGCAGAGTTACTCCAATCTAAGCCTATTGACTCCAATAGACTTGAGTCTCTCTGCATAGGGCTGCACTGTTAGAATCCCAAATTCCTATATAATTGTTGAGAACACTGAGGCAAATTATAAAATAAATTAGTATTAGCCCAGGGTTGCTTCCTGGTGTGCACGTCTACAGTGTGAGTGTTTTCACATCGTTACATACATTATATTGCTATAGAGTTGCCACCTGTAGTTGGCAACTCCCTGGGAGGAATTGGGGAGGTGGGGTCAGGCACACTGTGTTGCATCGACATGAGATGTCAATTTGAATAAAAAATGGAAGTGATGTCATCATGTCATGGGCACTACTCTAGGATTTGCCCCAAACTCCCTGGTTAAACCATAGAGTTGGGGGTGAATCCTAGAGTGTTGCCCCTGATGTAATGATATCACATCATGTTTCATTGGAAGTGGTGTTGCACAACAGTACGTTTCCCCATTTATCCTATTTTTCTCTTGTTGGCCTTGGAAATACTGACGGGGAAAGGGAGGTAAGCAGCAAAAGGTCTCCCACTATAGTGGACCTGATGTATTAATCATGTATGCATTTAAAATATTTTATATGTATATGGGACTGCGGTGGCTCAAGTGGTTAAGACGCTGAACTGCAGGCTGTGGAAGGTCAGTAGTTCAGCAGTTCGAGACCTGGGTGCCGCACGATGGAGTGAGCTCCCATCTCTAGTTCCAGCTCCTGCCAACCTAGCAGTTCGAAAGCAAGAAATTGCAAGTAGATAAATAGGTACCACTTCGGTGGGAAGGTAACAGCGTTCCGTGCGCCTTGGTGTTTAGTCATGCCGGCCACATGACCACGGAAACGTCTTTGGACAGCGCTGGCTCTTCGGCTTTGAAACGGAGATGAGCACCGCAACCCTAGAGTCGGATTCGACTGGCTTTCGAGCAAGGGAACCTTTACCTTTACCTAAACAATGGGATATGTGAAATGGCCTTCAACAATGGCAGCTTTTATAATTCTCTTGGCAACCCTCAGTGCTTTAATATATATGGCTTTTCTGCTTTCTACCGTTCTTTCCCTGCAGGTGCTCTCACCATGGTTGTGAGGGTTGTGAGCTACAACTTGCAAGGGCCAATGAACTCTTTATCCCACTCAAAGGGCTGGTGCAGTTAAAAAAGAAGCTAAATCTAGACAATCTTGGTACACAGTTGGTAAAGTTATTCAACTGCTTTATTTTAGAGTTGCCAGGCTGTGCCAGGTGGGAGAAATGAAAGGGCTGCAACATCCTGTGTGCTGCTATGCTACCTCTGGAGAAAATCCGGAAGCGACATAGGGTAGGTCTAGAAATCGCCTGAAACGCTGTGGTTTTACCATATTGCTTCTGGTGATTTCTCTAGCTTGCTACCCTATGTCACTTTTGGGTTTTCCCTTAAAAGTGAAGTAACATTGCAGATGATGCTGGCGTTTGTTGTTGTTTTTAATTTTTGTCCTGTCGCCAGTGAGCAAAGAGGGCTGCCAGCCCTAATAACTACAATGAACTGAGACTGGAATTCTGCAAAGTGGCCTACCTTTCTTCTGTCTACATCTGTTTGCAGAGATTTTTATATAACTACATGTTTTGTTTTCTTCACAGCTGTCCACAAATTGTAAAAGATGAAACCTTGTCAGTAATAATGAATGGAGAAGGTGAAGAAGCAATGTTTAGGATCCAGATGTTCAAATTTGTTGGTGCCTCATTCAATCATGTTTTCCTACACTGCACAGTTCAGATTTGTCACAATACAGCATTTGTTTGCAAACCAGTAAGTTTTTTTTTTTGTCTGTTTGCCTGGGTGTTCAAGTATCCAGTGAATATAAGATACCAAAATTCATAAAGGAGAATTCTGAGGTTATTACAGGGGAGGGAGCGAGTTCCTTTCTGCTGTTCTTTACATCAATTTGTCATTATTGTTATTACTGTGAATTTGGCCATCTTGATGCCTGTGAATGGGCAACGTGTGAAGCCAACAACTTCAACAAAGGGATTTTACTGTTCCTTAAAGATTGGGGAATCTTTCTTCAGTCTTCAAAAGGTCAGGCCTTCCATTTAGTGAGAGGGGGCAATTTGAACCCATTTTTTCAATGTAAAGTCAGAGAGAGAGAGAGAGAGAGAGAGAGAGAGAGAGAGAGAGAGAGAGAGAGAGATTTTTGCTGCCTTAGAGAGCTTTCTGGGAATCTGATGAAGCATAGCTGCTGTAATACCACTTGTAGATGTTTGTTTGCTTTTCAGAGTTCAGGGAAGTGGAGAGAAAGCATTTATCAATATATTCATAATAATATAAATTGATGTGTGGTAGAGCAGAAACAAATATTCTACCAAAGGTTCACATAAAGACTCATAGAAAAGAATGTATGTGTTAGTGTTGGCATGCAATTGGCTTTAATAATTTTGATGGATGGCAGTTGTAGTGCAGTAGTACTTAATACATGACAGTTGTAAGTCACTTTGAGTTCCCATTGGGGAGAAAAGTGTGGTATAAATAAAATAAATAAAATAATGTTTTTACCAGAATAAGTCAATTCACTGAGCTGTTAGTCTTCAAGTGGTAGGTCAGGAAGTAATGCACATGTACTTGTGAACCAGTCAGACATCACTACTTGTTACTAGAAGCTAGCTATGGGGATGAATGAATGGTTCATATTTCAATTTTTTTAAAAAATGTGCATATTTCCCCAGTTGTTTTATACTGCATGTGCACAGTGTATGTCAAGTGTAGGCATAAAATCTGCATGATACTGATTAATTAATGCACAAATAACAATGAAAAATCTGTACACTGCAGGAAAAATTGCTGGCAAGAAACAGAAATGTGTGCAAAAATGAGAATCATAGGTTTGATTTACACAAGTGAGTAGCAAAATCAAAACTGTGCATTCTTGGGGGAAGAAGCAAGGACAAAAAATTCAGATTAATCCATAAATTGGAAACTCTCTCCCAGGGCTCATTTGATCCATCTGCCTTTCCCTTGACCAATGAGTTCTACGGGAGATCGGAAGGATTCTTGGCACTAGCACGCCGGCCTAGCTGGAGCAGGGGGAGGGGGGTGGGGTGGCAGAGGAAGAGCTCCTGCCTGCCAAAGAAGGACTTGAAGAACTGCGATCTGGCAGGCAGACACTATTCTGCCTTCCCTTTTTAATCATAAGGAGAACTGGTGGAGGATGGGTATAGAAGAATGGCAGGAGCTATGGGCTAGAGGATAGACTATGAGTGCATACTGGTTTTACACATTCTTGAATCAGACCCTCTCAAGGACATAATTTAATGTCAGTACTCAATCCTGGTGGCAGTTTAACTTGGTGACCTTTACTGGCAATCAAGTAGCAAATTGACTAGGCAACTGAGGCAAGTCTGTCTAACAGATGCAGTATATCATGTTTCAAAATACTATTCCTTAAAACAGTTTTTGCACTTGAATCATGAACTGTCAGGTGTATGAGTACAGCATAAACTTTAGGATGGCTTTAGAAAACAGATGCCTCTGCCTTTACAGAGAGTGCATAGCTGTGGCAAGCCTCTGTACATGGATTTGTTGTTTCCTGAGCATCATTTTTAAAATGTCACCATATTGAAATACTAAGGAAGGGCAGGATGAAATCAGAAGTCATTGTGACATTTTGGAAGGACCCCATTATAAAACCAGAGGCTCGTTACAGATGTCATATGAAACAACCCAATGTGATAAATAATGTTTGTTAGCCTCCAAGTGTTCATCTTATATAACAAACACTACTCATTTAAATTCAAGAGTGCATAGCATAGAATATACAGAATGGTGGCTTTAAAATAGGGACTTGTACCCAGGCACACAGTTCTGAAAGCTTAAGAACACTTTCACCTTCAGAAGATTCAGATTCCCCTCACTCACTGCGGATCTCCACCAATGTTCCCTCTAAGCTGTGGAGCCCTGTGAGCAAAAATTCTACTTTGTGAGCTACCAGCATTAAAGTTGTGAGCAGGTGAATTGGCTACTGAATAACTTAGTTTGCTCTGGAGCCATCCTTCCTGAGCTAAGACAAAAAGGTGTGAGCCGGAGGCTAAAAAACTGTGAGCTAGCTCACACTAACTTAGCTTAGAGGGAACACTGATCTCCACTTTGTCCCCTGTGTTGTTCCTTAGGATATACTGACCACCCAAGGAACAAGGGGGGGCAGTGTGCTGCAGTGGGAAGGGTAAGTGGGAAAGTTGCACTCTGCAAGGGCCACTCAGTGGTAGAAACTAGTGGGGCATACCCTTCAAGTGGATGGTAGGGGGGGTTCTGGGCAGTTTAGCATAAGATTCACTATTTGTGTGCATAAAAGAGTAGATAATGTGAAACCTCAATTTACTATATTGCATAAAACAGGGGTCCCCAGTGTGGTGCCCATAGATGCCATGGCACCCACTGACCCCTTTCTTGGCACCCAAGTGTTTTTAGAAAGTGCCAGGTGGGGCTTTTGCCCAGAGAGCTTGTGATTGGACACTGGAAATCTGATTGGCTGTGCAGATTATTATTTTTTTTTACAAATTACTGAGGCACCATGTACCTCCACAGCACAAGGTAAGCTGTTAATATGCAAGAAAATATTTTACGCAGACATCCTGTTAAAGCTTCTGCATGAGACTGTAGGGGACATTCAAGGGTTCAAGTGATTGTCTATTGATTATTGCTGACTTCCAGGAATCTTTGGAAGCAATTCTTTGGGGTTATCCTGGAGAATTAACAACCTGTTAACCACTAAATAGTATTGTAGAAAACAGGTGTTTTAAATCAAATTTAATTGACAACAAATGGGTTTTTCTAATTAGGGCTGCAATCACACACGGTAAATAAACTACTTTCAATGCACTTTCCAACTGGATTTTTACTGTGTGAACTGGCAAAATCCAATTGGAAAGTGGATTGAAAGTGGAATGAAAGTGGATTATTTAGCGTCTGTGACCGCAGCCTAGGAGTGCTTTAGTTTTAATTGGGCCAGATGTTCTTATGTCACCTTTTTTAATTGGACTGATATGAACCATCCCAGCTAAGACCTCTCATAAGTGAAGATCTATGTTCCAGCCTTTGCTTCAAAGAATGAGTTCAGAAGTTCATTTCAGCTTATGATTTTAGCAACTTTAAATGAGAAAAACCCAGACTAAGTTCCTCTTTAAGTTTGGAATGCTTTAACATAGCAATATTGAACTATTACAGTTTATAGGCAATATCTATATATATGTTTGCCTTTTCAGCCTATTTTAAAATAGAAAAGAATTTGTTTGATAAGCTTTACATAATGAACTAATGCCAGTGAAGGGAGTTTTAATGGCAGGAAGCCCATGCCAATGTCACATTTATAGTGGCATCTTTTACTTCAAAGGAATTAGAATTGAGGTGAACAAGAGGACACTATAAGAGAAAAATCCCCTCTTCTGATCTGTTGTGAGTGTGTTTTTAGAACTTTATATTGTGTTTAAAGCTGAATATAAGATATGTGTAACAAAAGCAACTAACTTTGAGCTTTGCTAAAGAAATATCAAGCTTATGCTTGCTTAAAGATACATTTAAAATTAACCTGGCAAAGATCCATAAACTATTGACCAAGACCCGACCAGGTGTGTGTAAATTCAGCCAAGAATAAAGGTCATTAATCACAGCTATTGTGTGTGTGTTTTTAGAACTTTATATTATGTTTAAAGCTGAATATAAGATATGTGTAACAAAAGCAACTAACTTTGAGCTTTGCTAAAGAAATATCAAGCTTATGCTTGCTTAAAGATACATTTAAAATTAACCTGGCAAAGATCCATAAACTACTGACCAAGAGCCAACCAGGTGTGTGGAGATTCAGACAAGAACAAAGGTCATTAATCACGGCTATTGTCATTCATTAGAAGTTCAGGTGTGTCTTCCATACAAAATAGATCTAAGTTATTGTGTGCTTTTAAGTTTTTAAGGAACTGTGTTTGAAATTAACAAGCTACTAACAAGCAGATGAAGTCATAGAAATCAATCATGCACACCTGTTCACTAGAAGTCAATTAAAAAAGAAATACAACATTTGTATTAGACAAGGAAAGCCCCTATTGACCAGAGTACGAGTTTAGAAGTTTTTAAAACTCTTTTGAAATGAACAAAAATATTCTGATAGACCAAAATAAAGAATACAAAGGCTTTATGCCATAGGCTATTTTAAAACAGTAAGAGAATACATGTAAAGGGTTTGATGTCATTGTAATGATATATGTTTTCATATTTTTGTATACCCTTAGTGAAAATAAGCTAATAAAATGCTTTAAGAATATTGTTATACTTCTATATGCATATATTTATGTAAAAGAACCATTTTTGTAATGAAAACATCTAAGCTTTGTACTGAAAATGAATTCTGCCTGAGAATTCATTCAAAGGTGAAAAGGAGTCTAGGTAAGCAGCCAAGAAAACAAGTATTGGTATAAATCAATATAACGAGAAAAGCACCTGCATTGTAAAGGTGAGAGGCGGCCAAGTTAACATCCTGTTTGTCAAATATACGGATAACTGACCAGACAAGGAGATCTAAACTGAGCATGTGCAAATGATGTCAGTGATTATGTAAAGTGAGGAGGAGCAAGAAGAGCATATAAGCAAGATCCCTGCTGTAACTCACCGAACATCCACACTGAATTTCTTTGCTGTGAGATGTTCCTTATTCAAATAAATCTCTTTTTTTTACTCTTTACTGCCTGGAATAGTTTATTTCACTGTGTGGTTTATTGGCTAGCCACACAAGTCAAAGAACCTTAGCGCCTTCAGGGCCTTGCTATCAAAATATTGAAGAGTTACTGTTAGAGATATGCATGACCTCACTCCCTGACGTTTCATGATCAGCTCTGCCCCTGGTGACAATCATGTTGTGGTTGTGCTCACCACCCTGTTTCAGAATTCTAAGTGTCCCTGGCTCAAAAATGTTGGGGATCCCTGGCATAAAAAAGGAAAAATTTAATTCCTTCCATGCTGTGGAGTAGGCCCTACACAAAAATTAGGCCTATTCCTTACATCCTAACTCCTTTCAGTCACATCTGTTCTTCTTCCTGTACTTCTGGTTTAGGTGGTTGGACAGGTTAAAACAGAATGGTGAGCTACATTCTGATATTTCATATATATATATATATATTTAGGTGGTTGGACAGGTTAAAACAGAATGGTGGGCTACATTCTGATATTTCTCATATATATATATATATATATATATGGGGGGCTGCTCACTGCTGGAACTTAACAACTTTGCCAGTATATAACTATTATTTTACTTAACCAAGATATATTTTATATGTTTTCCCAGGGGTCATTTCGTAGAAAAAGAGGTGCAGGAGCTCATTAGCATAACTAATTAGCATAACTTATTTGCATATGCCACACACCCTGACATCAAGTGGAAGTGTGTCAGAAGGCAACACCCACTCAGGGTCCACTGGACTGTTTTGGATTGCTGCCTATGGGGGGGCTCTGCAACTTACCTGGCTGCTTCTTGCTCCTCGTAGCCCGGGGCTGCTGGGAGCAGGGGGTGGGGCTTGTTGCATGTGCCCATCCCCTGGGCTCTTTACTGCCGGAGCTCCACTCCTGTGCGCTCCCGCAGGAAATGACCCCTGTTTTCCTAATATTTATTATTGTCATCTGCTGTATGTTGGCTAGGCCTTTCTCAAGCCCTGGCTGCCATGGGAGTGGGGGTAACACTGGAATGTTTAGTTTCATTTCTGCTGTGTCTTCTATGTTTCTATTATCTCTGTATGACCTTCAGTGCCTGGTGTAGTCTTTCTCTTGGGAAAAGTAACCCGTTACTTTGGCGGGCTTCTGCCTGGTCAGAGGGCCTCCTTGAATAATGTATATCTGCTTGCTGTGCACACTTTTCTTCAGTTCTAACATGAAATGGTTAAGATATCTGCATACTCTCAATGTCTCAATAAACTTTACTTCTTTGAGTGAAAGCTGTTGGGAACTGATTGCTGCACGCGTCTGACACTGTAGTTCTTTCTGAGAGTAACACTGTTTGTATTTTCCCTAGAATTGCACAAACAATGACAGTCTGGCCAGAAGTAAAAGAGAAGCCACACCTTTTTCTAATCACATGGTGTCATATGGTCCTATAAAACGAAAACTGGTACATAATGGGGAGACAAATATAAGTAAGTGGCTAACAAATACATATTATAAACTATAATTTTAATTCAATTCTGCACTAGTAAAAAGGTAAAGGTTCCCTTGCTCGAAAGCCAGTCGAATCCGACTCTAGGGTTGTCTCCATTTCAAAGCCGAAGAGCCAGCGCTGTCCGAAGATGTTTCCGTGGTCATGTGGCCGGCATGACTAATCACCAAGGCGCACGGAATGCTGTTACCTTCCCACCAAAGTGGTCCCTATTTATCTACTTGCAATTCCTTGCTTTCAAACTGCTAGGTTGGCAGGAGCTGGAACTAGAGATGGGAGCTCACTCCATCATGCGGCACCCGGGTCTCGAACTGCTGAACTACTGACCTTCCACAGCCTGCAGTTCAGCATCTTAACCACTTGAGCCACCGCAGCACTAGTAGTTCTCCTTTATAGGACGCACAACACATTCTATATCTTCAATCTTGTGAAGAATCATAGTTTATATCAAGAGATTCAGCTTTAAATTTCATAAACATCACACACAATTTTGGTTTTTGTTGCCACAATCATACTTTCATGTCTCTAATTGAGACATACATTGAGTCCTTATAACAATCTGCAGGAAATTCTAACAAAAAACTTTGTTTCTTTGTTACTAGTGGTATGGCTGTTTGCTGAACTATTGTGCATATTCCTGTTTAGTTGATGCAATATTAATTTCTACGAGTGAAGAATGACAACCTCCAGATGCTATGTAGCAACCCCCCTTTAGCTTCAGTGGGATCTGGATCTGTGCAGAAACTGAGTCTGTGCAATACATTTATTCACTGTAAAACACCATTTTGATCATTGATAGATTGATCAGAATGTGAGCTGGATCCACCCTTCATTCCAGCATAACAAACCTGTTACACAAAAAACCTTCACTAAAGAAGGATATACTGTAAAGCACAAGTCCCCATGTTCAATCTCCATTATTTTTAAGCAATGAATTAGGAGGGCTAAGAAAGTAGTTTCATATGTTCACAGAACATTTATAGGATCGGTGTATTCCCCTTTCACTGTCATCTGGTGCTGATGTTGATGCTCTGTTTACAACAGCAGGTAGATATATTGCAAATTTGATATTGGTGACTAATTTTTAATTTGGTAGAATTTTCTTCTTTGGTAAAGATTGTCCTTTCTTTTAGGTGGAGGAAGACTTCTGCCAATAGAAATATTGGTCTTTGGAGGAGTTCTAGTAGCTGTTCTGGTGATAGCTGCGGTTTTTGGAAACCTTTTATTTCAGTCAAGAAGGACATACCCTGCTATGCAAGCACAGCTGACAATGTCCCGTTTTCACAGATCTGAAGTCCCATCATGACAAACTGTCATCCAAGAATATCTTGCAATATTGCAGCGATGGTTATATGGCAGATTAACATTTATTTACATATGCTTATAATTTCTATTTTTATACATCTCAAAGTCCTAGATTAGTACCTCTTCTTCTGTCAAATTGCTTGTATACCAGATATAGAAAGACATTTGAAATAAAAAATGAAGTGAATCTATCATCAGAGGTTTTGTAGGTATAACATAAATACCATATGCAACAAAATGGATGAATTTTTAATCATCACACACAATAAATGGTCTATGTATTATTTACAAATTTCTGCTACAGAAAAGCAGGGGCCTGTATTACAATTTTTCAGAACTAAAAACCACTGAAATCTGTAATATGCAGAGTTTGGTATGTGCTTTACACTTGTGAATATAGATCAATTCCAAATATAACAAACCCTAAATCTTTATATTCTGAATTGAAATTCCTGAGACAAATTGCTTATTTTTCTGTGTGTAGTGAAGTACTTCTTATATTTGTTTATGTCTGTGCCAATTTAACTTTGTTTGTAAAATATTTCATCAGCTTTGTGACATTATTAAAAGAAATAAAATTTAGCTGTTTTGCACTGCAAGTCTAAGGAAAGTTATACCTTTCTAAGCCCCTTGGCTTCAATGGTCTTAGAACAGTGTATCTCCCTTAGGATTGCACTGTTGGAGACTTCTGACCTGAGCAGTGATAGAATTTAGTGGATTCAGCTTTTATGAAGTACATTTCAAGTTGGTTAAATGGTTTGTTGGTTAAATGGTTTGTGTGTGTCTGTAGGGGGAAAGGCAGACACCCTTTTTGCACATGCACCATGGTCCTGACCTGAATCAGACACTGCATGAGCAGCAGTTGAGGGAAATCCACAATCCACATGTGCCCATGTTATGTCTGATCCTTGGTGGGGATCCAGACGCTGTTATATGCATCCTTAAGATAAATTTGAAATAGAAGGTGCTGGGTGCCAAACCATTAGCCTCTTGTGTTCATGAACTAATCTCTGTTATTTCTAAATATGCAGATCTCAAAATTCTACTCAGGTCTATTCAGTGGGACTTCCAGGAAAGCGTTCTGAGGGCTGCCTATTAATAACTATTGTAGGTGTCACAATAGTAGGAAAAGATTAAACTGGATATATAAAAAGTAGATGCATGGAGAGAAGTAGGAACTCCAGCATAGACTTGGTGCCTAGAATAGTATTCATTGTCGTTTAAACTGGTTTCATTCACAGTTTGGTCTCCTCTAGCATCACTTTACAATCTGTATACTTGTCAAAATAAAACCAGTCAGTAGAAGGGTGAATTGTGTGTTCCATCTTCAGAGATTTCTGGCCCTAGCTCAGTCACAGACTCTTTGAAAAGATGGGGGGAAATCACACACACACAAAAAGAGAGCGAGAGCTTCTGAGCAGCTAGGAAGTATAGTGGCCAGCCTACCACTGGATTCAGGGTGAGGCAGACCTAGTTTTGGTGGCAGACTTTCAGGTAAAATAGAACAGAAGTCCGGTAGCACCTTAAAGCTAACAATATTTATTCTAGTATGAGCTTTTGTGAGTCAGAGCTTCTGATGCGATACTGCTGGACACTATTAAAAGCAAGTAAATTGCCTGTCATTTAATCTATTATACTTGTTATCAAACCAACACAGAGTAGGGATATAGAAATAAAAAAAAAATCTGTAACCAGCTATGGCCTGATGATGATGCTCAGAGTAGAGCCAAATATAGAGATGGGAATGGGGTGGACTCAGTCATTGTTTCTACTCTCAGTCAGTGTTCACAGGTGGGTTGGCAGCTGGTGCCACAAAGAAGTCCTAGCTGCCTCCTGCTTTCCCCCTCCGTACAGTAGATGAGGAGAATGGAGGTGGATATAAGAGGACAGGCCTAAAGAAGGCATCTTACAGATGGCCTTGGGAAAAGCTTAATGTTTACTAAAGGTGTCCATATTTAAACTAGGTTTGCCTCCTTCAGACAAATATAACTCCTCGCCCCCAACCGCGGGCATGCCCTGGTAGCAGGGCTCTTTTTTTTTTTTTTTTTGAAAAAGAGGTGCTGGAGCTCTCAAGAAGGAAACAAAGTTTTCAGTCTGTATACTGAAAACTCATGAACTTTTAAACATTTTAAAAAGAATTTTGTCCAAGAGGTTCCAGAACTCTGGTCGGGTGCATTCCCGCAGAAAAAAAGCCCAGCCTGGTAGGCAATTCTGCCCTGGGTTTATGAAGGGAACCATTTGGATATTCTGCACCAGGGAGTCATTTCTGGTAGCAAACTGCCTCTTCTCAACAGAATTACTGCAGCCCTTCCGTAAGCACACATATAGCAGTCGCAAGACAGCCAGAACAAATGATACAACGTATTCCCTTGTTCATCCTGTGTAGTATGTGCCATCATGTTGAACAGGTATGCAAAACAATTTTATAAGATAATAAAGCTCCTATGCAGCCTAATCCAAATCATATTTACTGGGGGGAGGGGGGGATTGGTCCAGAGCAAAGTCCATGTAGTAACTTCATTAAGACATAACGACACAAAACAGAACACACCGATTTCAATGGAATTGCTCCGAAGATGCAAACCTTAATATTATTATCCCAGAAGAATAACACAACACAAAGTGCTTTCATATGTTCGATTCTGATTATATCAGTCCTAACTTATATAAGCGCTTCGAACATTTTTGGAGAATACGGCTAACAATAAATATCCTAACCAAGGAGAGGTAAAAAGGACAACATCAGCGGGACCACTTTCTGCTCTGGGACAGCCTGCCCATGTCCCTTTCGGGAAGTTTTGTTTTCCTTTTCTTCTGTCCTCGCGTCACTGACGCTCACGCCTGGCCGCCTGGCCCCTTCGCAGCAACAGCAGCGGCTCCTACAGCACCTCCCACACTTCTTTTACGACACTCCTCCCCCCAACTGCCCTGCTGCATGGAGCAAGGGAAGCGAGGGAGCCGGAAAGCGATGTTGTGAGCCAGCGCTTGTAGTCCTCCACCTCACCGGAACCGGATCGAATCTTAAGAGCGTCTGGGAGGGGCGGGCTGCTTGTCTTGTCTTTCCCCCTCCGAGCTGTTCCACGCGTCCGAGCGAGTGGGTGAGTCGCCTGTGAGAGAGAAGAGAGGGAAGGGGGTCGAGGGCTTTGGTTGCTGTAGCTTTGCGCCCTCGACACCGCTGAGTTGTTGCTGCTCCCTGTCGGCCGAGGGGTAAACAAATGGCGGCGGCAGCAGCCATAGCCTGTGCTTGGGGATTCCCCCTCTCAGCCCTAGCCCTGGCGGGGAAGGGGAGGGTTGGGCCTGGCCACCACCTCCACCACCATAGGGGGTGGTGGCCTGGCCCGGGCTAGTCTGAGTCGTAGTGGTTCTAGTTGCCAGGACTATGGAAGTGAGTGGGAGCTTGGCAGGGTCTCCCCGGGAGGGATTCAGCGGCCAACACTGACTGACAGCTGGAGCACTTTCGGAGGCTGCCCTGGAGGGTGTCGCGGATACTTTCGTGGGACATTTGCATGGGGTTTCCCTTTCAAAAAGCCGTGTTATTTTGGAAAAGGGGGCAGGGAGAGAGAAGGAATGTAGCACTGGCGGCTGTCTTATCCCTGCGGTTCCCTCTCCTCTCTTTGCTTTTGGCGTAGATGGGAAACAATGGCTGTACTACGGATAGGGAGGAATGGGCCGCCTCTTTTCTTCAGCCGTGTGTGGCTTGATTAGCGTTTTCACTGCAGTCATCTGTGGAGCCGCGACGGCAGACACGCGCCCGGCTCCCTGTGGTCAAAATGCCCATTGTGCGTGGTGTCGAGACAACAGCTGCAAGTCATCTCGTCGCTGTCTCAGAACCCCTCCCCCCGGCAAGGTGTTTAATTTTCTAGGCAGAGATATGTTTGAAGTTTACACTGGGACTTTCCGCAGAAAAACAAATGGAACTGGAGTTTTTGCCCTTTTGATTTGCGCCAGTAAGAGTGTTCCATGAAGGGAAGCACGAGCCTTAAAAGGAGGGCTGTAAATTGCTCCTTTGCTAAAATGCTAGAGAGGGTGTGAGAGTTGCTCGGCTGTGATAGATTAGTGCTCCGTGAAAAGTAGAACTGCTTCTGGGAACAATTTCTCGTTGAAATACGTTTGTTCCACTTGCACATTGAAAGACTCTTCTGTGGACCTTTGAAAGGGGATGGGGTGGTAGTAGAATCTTGAAAAGTTTGTTAACTGAAAGCAAAATAGGGTAAAGCTAAAAACAAGTTTAGAATACGCTAATATAGTCCTTGTAAAATAAGTGAACTATGAAGTTTAAGAATGGTCTACTGCAGCAGATGTTAGCCATTAACATAACTTATTAAGAAGCATAAACATATGGCTAAACATATAGAGCAGAGGTCCATCAGTGGCTATTAGCCACAACATGTAGACGGAACACTGTGTCTGGGGCAGTATGTTCTATAATCTTGGTGCTGGGGGGGGCAACAATGGGAGGGCTTCTGGAGTTCTGGCCATGCTGGTGGACCTCCTGATGATATCTGGGTTTTTGGCCACTGTGACAGACTGTTGGATTGGATGGGCCATTGGTCCGATCCAACATGGTTTCTCTTAAGTTCAGGCATTGCCAGGTTTCTGAAGGAAATCCTTTCATTTTTAGTTTCCATCTTTGGTCACACAGTACAGTATAGAGTTCTTGTGCTGACAGTCTTCAGCTAATGACACTTTAGTAGTGAATAAATATAGGTGGGATTTATGGTATGAGGAAGTCGTTGAAATCTGAATTTTTAAAATTTTCAGGAAATCTTGAACAATTCATTATCAGATAAGTATGCCTTTTAAATAGCCAAGTTTGTATTGTACCTTGATAGCTTGTGTGGATGCTTATTTTAGCTGAGTCATGATTGTCAGCAGTCCTTGAAAAAAGTTTGTGGGATCATTCAGGCCAAAGGTCACTTCTGTTTTTTCACCTGCAAGATTCCAGGGCAATAGCACCTTAAAGACCAACAAGATTTCCAGGAGAGAGGCTTTTGAGAGCCA